CTGGGGACTTTGGACCCAGAGAGGGAAAGGGACTCTGGGCCGAAAACTGGAGGGAGGAGGGGGAAATGTAGGGGGTGGGTTTCTGGGATATACCCTTTGGGTGGTTGATGATGCACGGAGGGGATTGGAACCATGGCAGTTAGATGATAAACGATGGAATGAATGTGAAGCTAAAGTTCTCCCATGTAAACTATCATATAATTCACAATAAAACATTAAAAAAAAAAGAATACAAATATGAAATTTTATAGTGTGTGCATGATTCTACTTATATTAAATTTATAAACAAGAACACAATACTTAGATCCTTGGAATCCCTATACAGGGTTGCTATGGGTCAGAATTGACTCAGTGGCACTTAATAATAATAACAAATAACACATATGCTTTAAATGATAAAAGAAATACCAAACATCAAATACTAAACGTAAAAATACTAAACATCAAATCCAGAATAGTAATGATTCCAGAGGAAGACAGATGTGCTTACATAGAAGTACATATGGGGCTTGTATCATGTTAATATTTTGATATTATATCGATCATTTTTCATAGTTTTGCATATATAAAAATTTGAAAAATAAAGATAAGGATGATGATATAGATTGTGTGTTGGAGTAACAATGTTAAAAATTGATAAAATAGTAACATTTTCAAAGCAAAAATAAGTTTTTTAGATTAAGCACACAAAATGATATACATGGAAGTATTAGTAATAGTCCTACAGTATGTAGTTTCAACTGAACATAAAATAACTTTATAACAGCTGATAACAATATTTATATTTCCTTTAATATTAACTTTATTATTACATTATAATTTTCATATCAAATTATTTATAAAACACTTTCCACTAAAATTATTTGTCAGACATTTAATGGTGTAAATTTTAAGATGAGTTAAGAGGAAATGACAGAAAGTTGGCTGCATTGAGTAAATTAACTTATACATGGGTTATTTTTCAAGTCACAGCAATAAAAGTTCAAGTATCTCTGGAATGCCCGCCAATGCAGGATATGTCCCTCTCTCACCTCTCTAACTCATGGGTTAGAACATCAGATTCTTAATTATAAATAAGTGATAGTGAAAAATCTAGTAATGAAACATTGGGATATAAAACTTACAAGTTAATTGGTTTCACTGGAGCCAAGAAAGACCTTGTTTGAAATCTGTCCCAGAGTCCACCAACAATCTACAATCATCATTAAAACCAATGGCATTAAATGACTAAGTTATTGTAATTTGCTATGTATAAATGTCAACACCTTTATCAACCCTCTTTGCACAATGGCCAAACCCCAGCCCATCCCAAGTATCCCTACCAACTTAGAGGCAGGCTCTGGATATACCGTTGGTCTCTGCTCTTTTTTGTTCTCAGATCTTAGATTTCATTGTGTTATATCATAGCTAAAGTCTTCCTCATTATTCCACTCCTTCAGATGAAAACCCATGTGAAAGATCTAATTTTAGTTTTCATACTTGGCTCTGCATTGATCAACACTCTACAGCCCAAGACCAATTTTCTCTTTCCAGCTCACTCCAGATCCTAAGCGATAAGGGATTTTGGATACTAATATTATTTCACACCACAGAAAATAAAATAAAATTTTAGACTTGTATTGAAGCAATCCCACTAGTCTGTCAGTTAGTTGTACTTTGATGGATTGTGTGTTGCTGTGATGCTGGAATCTATGCCCACAGGTTCACCCATGCTGAACTGATTTTAGTGGAGCTTCCAGACTAAGACTCGGAGAAAGTAGAGACCAATTACTTCTGAATGTTTAGCTACTGAAAACCTTAAGAATAGGAGCAGAACATTAGCAAATGTAGTGCCAGAAGATGAGGTACTCAGGTTAACAGGCACTCAAAATGTGACTGGAGAAGAGTTGCCTCCTCAAAATAGAGTTGACCATAATTACATGACTGGAGAAAAACTTTCAGGACCTCTATTTGCTCATCAGTCACAACTCTAAAAAACAAAACAAACAAAAAAGATAAAACAGCTGCAAATATCCATTAATCAATCAGAACATGGAATGTTCCAAAAAAATTGCAAGTTGGAGAAGCAAAATGAAATGGAACAAAAAAAAAGGCCAGTATTCTAGGCATTGTTGTTGTTAATGTTTTCAAGTCAGTTCTGACTCATAGCGACCTTGTATAGGGTTTCCAAGGAGAAGCTAGTGGGTTGGATCTGCTGACCTTGTGGTTTGCAATCCAGTGCTAATCCTACAGTACACACCACAAGTCCACATTCTAGGCATAGTGAACTGAAATGGATTGGTATTGGTCATTTTGACTATGACAATCATGGCTTACTATGCTGGCAATGACAAATTGAAGAGGAATGGCATCCGATTCATTGTCTACAAGAATTTTCAAGGTTTATCTTGATGTATGTACACTGCTGTTTGTGATAGGACAAAGTCCATATGCCTACAAGGAAGACACTAGTTAATACAACTATTTTTTAAAATTTACATACCAACCACTAAAGTCAGTAATAATGAAATTGAAGAATGCCAATTTCTTCACTCTGAAATTCATCAAATATACAATTAAGATGCATTGATAATTATTGGTGATTAGAATGCAAAAGTTGGAAACAAAGAGCAAATATCAACTGTTGGAAAATATGACCTTAGTGATAGAAATTATGCTGGAGAACACATGATAAAATTTTTCATGACCAATGACTTATTCATTTAAAATATGCTTTTGAATAAACATAAGGACCTAATCAGATGGCATGCACAGGAATCAAATTGATTACATCTGTGAGAAGAGATGGAGAAAAGCTCCATATCATCAGTAAAAACAAGGAAAGGGTGGACTGTGGGAAAGGCCATCAATTGCTCATATGCAACTTCAGGTTGAAGCTGAAGAAAATTAAATGTACAAGATCCAAAATACGATTCAGAATATATTACACCTGAATTAAGAGACAATCTCAAAATCAGAATCGATGCAAAAGACCCTTATGCAGAGGGCTTGCTGGATGACATCAAGGATATCATATAAGAAGAATTCCAGAGGTCATTAAAAAGAATGGGGGGGGGGGGGGCCAAAATAGATGTCAGAAGAGACTGAAACTTGCTTACCAGCTAAAAGTATGAACTGAGGAAGTAAAAAAGATGACCAGAAAAATTTAAAGGGCAGAAGACAAAGTCAAGTATAATAAAAACAGGCAAAGACTTGGAGTTAGAAAACCAAAAGGGAAGAATACGTTCAGCATTTCTCAAGCTGAAAGAATTGAAGGAAAAATTGAAGCTTCAACTTTCAGTATTGAAAGATTCTATGGCAAAATTTTGAATGATGCAGAAAGTATCAAAAGAAGATGGAAGGAATACAGAGTCACTGTATCAAAAAGAAACAGTTGGTGCTCAACCATTTCAAGATGTAGCATCTGATCAAGAACCAATGGTAGTGAAGGAAGAAGTCCAAGCTGCACTGAAGATATTGGCAAAAAAAAAAAAAAAAAACAGGGCTCCAGGAATTGATGGAATACAAATTGAAATCATTCAACAAATTGATGAAGCACTTGAGGCACTCATTCATCTATGCCAAGAAATTTGGAAGACAGTTACCTGGTCAACCGATTGGAAGAGATAAATTATTTGTTCCCATTCCAAAGAGAAGTGACCCCACGGAAATCATTGAACAATATCATTAATATCACACACAAGTAGTATTTTGCTGAAGATAATTAAAAAATGGTTGCAATAGTATATCAACATAGTTGTTGTTGTTGTTGTTAAGTGCCGTCGAGTCGGTTCTGACCCATAGCGACCCTGTACAGGGTTTCCGAGGGTGTAAATCCTTACGGGAGTAGGAAGCCTCATCTTTCTCCCGCGGAGCGGCTGGTAGTTTCGAACCGCTGACCTTAAGGTTCACAGCCCGATTCGTAACCACTACGCTACCAGAGCTCATATCAACATAGAACTGCCAGAAATTCAAACAGGATTCAAAAGAGGATGTAGAACTAGGGATATTATTGCTGATGTCAGATGGATCTTGACTTAAAGCAGAGAATACCAGAAAGATATTTACTTGTGCTGTATTGACTATGCAAAGGCTTTAGATTGTGTAGATCATGACCAACATTGAGAAGAATGGGTATTTCAGAACACTTACTAGTGCTCATGAGGAACCAGTACAGAGACCACAAGGCTGTTGTTAGAAAAGAACAAGAGGACACTGAATCATTTTAAATCAGGAAAGGTGTGTGTCAAGGTTGTATCATTTTACTATAGTTATTCAGTCTTTATGTTGAGCAAATAATCTGACAAACTGGATTGTATGAAGAACCTGGCATCAGGATTAGAGGAAGACACATAACAACCTGCAATATACATATGATAGAATTTTGCTTGCTGAAAGCAAAGAGGACTTAAAATACTGATGAAGATCACATACTGACTGCACCTCAATAAAAAAAAATCCTCACAACTGAACCCATAAATAACATCATGATACATGGATCAAATATTGACGTTGTCAAGGACTTCGTTTTGCTTGGATACACAATCAACACTCATAGAAACAGTAGTCAGTAAAGCTAATGACATATTGCATTAGGAAAATCTGCATAAGACCTCTTTAAAGTGTTAAGAATCAAACATGTCTGTTTGACTATTAAGGTGTGCCTGATCCAAGTCATGGTATTTTCAATAACCTCATATGCATGTAAAAGATGGACAATGCATTAGACAGACCATGGGGGAATCAATGCATTTGAAGTATGGGGTTGGAGAAGATTATTAAAAGTACCATGACTGCCAGAAGAGCAAACAAATCTGTGTTCGAATTACTGCCAGAACGCTACTTTGAAAGTAGGATGGCAAGTCTTGCTTTCTCATACTTTGGACATGTTGTCAGAACAAGACATGCTTGTTAAAGTGGAGGGCACTGAAAGAGGAAGACCCCAATGAAGTGGGTTGACACAGTGGCAGCAGCATTGGGCTCAAAAGTAACAATTGTGAGGATGACGCACTCTTCCGTTCTTTTGTGCCTAAGGTTGCTGAGTTCGAAATTATGAGAATTACGCACTATTTCGTTCTTTGGTGCATAAGGTTGCTATGAGTCAGAACTGACAACAACAATGCAATGATCAATTTTCACAAGATGTAGCAATATGTTTAAGTAATATCGAGATTTAAAACTACAGTTTAAAAGAACCATGTATGTTTCCATGCTTTGTTTTGATATCTAAATGAAAATCTTAGTTTAAGCATTTGTATTGTTGTTGTTGTTATGTGCCATAAAGTCGGTTAGTGACCCAGTGTAGGGTTTCTAAGGAGTGACTGGTTGGTTTGACCACCGATCTTGCAGTTAACACTCTAGTACTTATCATATAGTGTCATACCAGGACTACAGTCTTTGAATTTAGCATTTTTCATTTCTCTCTTTTTTTCATTTTAGAAATGAAGTTTTATAAGATAATGTTAATTTATTTACCTGGCGCCTACATTCCCATTAAGGGTCTGGTTTAGAACTGTATTTCAGTATAATTGGTTTCCTTTTCAATCTGCTGCTTTTTATATGCCCCAAAGATGATTCACTATAGTAATTAAAGGACCCTGACTTCCAAATGGATATATATATCACAAAAAGTTAAGGGAATCAATAAAAATAGAAGGTGATCTGCAAGCAGATAGCAAGGATAGCAAATCCAGTTTTTAGTGGTCAAAGTAAGGCCGAAGATGGCACCTAAAGGATACTGATGTATACAGAGTCATATAAGCAGTGGAAAACTATTTAGAAAAAATGAGAAATGAAGCAATACATGACACACTTGACTTGGGAGTTCAGCAGAGATTGAGTACATTGTGATCGTGATGGTGGTAGTATTTATGTGCTGTGGAGTCAATCCTGACTCATAGTGAATCTGCATAGGTTTTCCGAGGCTATAAATCTTTACAGGAGCAGAAAACGTCATCTCTCTCCCATGGAACCACTAGTAGTTTTGTACTGCTAACCAAGAGATTAGCAGCCAACTTGGAACCACTATGCTACCAGAGCTCTTTAGAATACACTGTAGGAGTTGATAATGGGATAGCAAAGTGAAAGAACCAGAATTGGGAGGGAAGAAGCTGGTAGGTGGTTGTGGGCAAATAATAAAAGATTGGATACATGTATGTCAAGAATATGAACTTTTATTGTTTATTTTTATAAATGATGAATTTTAATGAATGAAATAAGAAGAACAGATTCACATATTAGAAAAATGATGCTGGATGCAGTGTTGATATATTAATCCAGAATAATCTATAATTCTTACAGATATTCAGAGATGAAACGAATGGCCATATCTATGGATAGCTCAGTATACTTCATTTTATTAGATAGTAAGAGCTATAGACTCATGGATTTTCCCATTCTTCTCTGAAAAGTGCAGAGGGAAGTCCTAGATTCAGTTTCAAAACTGTTTGTAGTACAGGTGATCTGGTAGAATTGTATCTCCTGTACTCTTCATTATTTACTCAATTTATTATGCAATTTGAAAAATCGTGCAGTCATTACTTCTTGCGTACTTAAGTCGCTCAAATTACTTTTGGGAAATATGTAAGTTTTAATTATGAATAAAATGTCAATATACACAATATGAAAGTATTTGCAATCATCAATGAACTTTATGTTTGTAGACATGTGAGGGCAAATCAAGAAGTATTGCAAGTAAGGTTTAAGTTCATACAATTATTTCAAATTAAACATGTTTAAATACGTTTTTTTGTGAGAGATGGATTGCAGCAGACAAGTTTTATCAGTAATATACTGTCTTATTCTCATTAAGGTGCCTTCAAACAAAGTTCAATCAGAACAGGTGGCTTCAATAGGCTCTGCTAGACCAGTTAGATTCAAGACAGGTGGCATCAATAGTAGTAGTGGTTATGTGCCATGGCATTGCTTCTGTCACATAGCAACCCTGTATAAGATTTCTGAAGGAGTTCTGGTAGCACAGTGGTTACAAGTTGGGCTGCTAACCTCAATTTCAGCAGTTTGAAACTACCAGCTGTTCTGTGGGAGAAAGATGAGGGTTTTTGCTCCCATAAAGATTTACAGCCTCAGAAACCCTCTACAGGGTCACTATGAGTTGGAACCAAAGCCACTGCACATAACCAACCAACCAATACGATTTCTGAGGCTGTAAATCTTTACGGGATCAAAAAACCTCATCTTTCTGACATGAAACTGCTGTTAGTTTCGAACTACTGACTGAATGGGCTCTGTATGTCAGTTTTATTCAAGACATGGAGGTTAGATCTGCCTTGTGATATTCTCAAGAGACAGGATGATCACAAGGGTTTATTGCAACGAAGTTTTAAGAAAATTAAAAACTGCCTTGTTGATAAAAAGGCCAGGAAAGTTGTACCAAGGAATATTTTACACCATGACGATGACCTGGTAATTCTTTGGGGGTTCCAAGGTCTATCTTATGTGAATTTCACTGGGAAAGCCTGCCCTACCACACCCTACAACCCTGATCTTGCTTTGTCACACTTCTTTTTTACCTCAAATTAAAAGAACATTTGAAAGGATCAGTTTGAGGCCACTGAGGATGCAAACCTGTTGTTTTGAGGTGGTGTAAATTAAGAAGTGCAGCAGTCTTCCAGGAAGGGTTAGAAAGATGGGAACACTTTCTATCTGTGTTTACAGCTAGATGGACAATATCACAAAAATCAATAGCTTCACAATTTGATCTTTTTCTTTAATAAATATTTCTATGATTACTTTTTAATTTACCCTCATATGTATATGTGTATATATGAACATATGGTTCTTTCAGTAACTCTCAACAGTAAAGAAAGTGTTACCATGCCTAAAGTTCTGGAGCACAGCTCAGTAACAGAAATATTTTGTTGTTACCCAGGAATAATTCACTGACCTGAGTTATTGCTGGTAATCTTTCATATCTTTTCAGTGTAAAGCATTGTGATATGAGGTCAGGAGCTTTTTCTACTGTTGTGTCATCTGGATCAAGTTTTGGTGGTAGCATCTTGTCCCAAGGAATGTCTTCATAAGCTCTATGATATTATCAAAGAAGAACATTTATATAATACATATTCTCTTAATATGGTTCATAGCAATATTATTAGTATGGTAGGTATATTTCTACAACGTCCCCAAGACTCCCACCCACTAATGCACACATGTATATAATATCCTCCCCTTGAATGTACATGGAAACTTGAATATGATACATCACTCCCATTATTATGTTACATTATATGGAAAAAGAGATTTTACACAATAATTAAGATTCCTAATCCATTGACTCTGAGTTGCTCAACAGGGAGTTTATCCTGAGTGGGCCTGACCTAAAAACCGATAAAAATAAAAAAAAAGAGCAGCAGTTGTTCTGCTTTCCTTAAGGAAACACAACATCCTGAATTCTACAGTAATAAAGACTGAATTTGGCCAACAATCTGAATGAGCTTGGAAGATGACAAACCAGTCCTGGGTGATACTTTTATTTCAGATCCTAAGCAGAGAATCTAGAGTGAGATCTTTCAACAGTAAATTATCTCAAACAAGGAAGGAATTTAGATGTCTTATCATTTCAAGACTTCATTTTAGAAATGAGAAAACTGAGGATCAGAAAAATTGTTGTTGTTAGGTGCCATCGAGTCAGTACCGACTCATAGTGACCTGATGTACAACAGAATGAAGTACTGCCCAGTCCTGGGTCAACCTCACAATTGTTGAAACACTTGAGCCCATTGATGCTGCCCCTTTGCCAATCCATCTTGATGGGTGTCTTCCTCTTTTGCTCTGCTGCTCCACCTTACCAAACATAATATCCTTCTCCAGTGACTGGTCCATCCTGACAATATGTCCGAAGTATGAGAGACGAAGTTTGGCCATCCAGGCCTCCGTGGAGCACTCTGGCTGTACTTCTTCCAATACAGATATGTTTGTTCTGTTGGCAGCCCATGGCACTTTCAATAGTCTCCTCCAACACCATAACTCAAAAGCATCAGTTCTTCTATGGCCTTCCTTATTCACTGTCCAACTTTCGTATGCATATGGGGCTATTGAAAATACCATGGCTTGGGTCGGGTGCCCCTTAGTCCTGAAGCTGACATCTTTGCTCTTCAACACTTTAAAAAGTTCTTGTGCAGCAGATTTGCCTAATGCAATACGTTGTTTGATATCTTGACTGCTGCTGATTCCATGAGTATTGATAGTTGTTCCAAGAAAAATGAAGTCCTTGACAATTTCAATCTTTTCTCCGTTGATAAGAATTGTTGTTTATTGGTTCAGTGGTGAAGATTTGTTGTTGTTGTTTACATTGAGATGCAATCCATACCAAAGATTGTGCTTTTTGATCTTCATCAGTAAATACTTTAAGTGCTCTTCACTTTCAGCAAGCAAGGTTGTATAATGAGTCTTCCTTAAATCCTGATGCCACATTTTTCTTCATATAACCCAGCTTCTCAGATAATTTGTTCAGCATACAGATTGAATAAATATGGTGAAAGAATACAACCCTGTTGCACATTTTTCTTAATTTTAAACCATTCTGTGTTCCCATGTTCTGGTCAAACAATTGCCTCTTGGTCCTTGTACAGATTCTTCATGAGCACAATTAAGTGTCCCGGAATACTCATACTTCGCAATGTTGTCCATAGCTTGTCATGATCCACAATTGAAAGCCTTTGCATAGTCAATAAAGCACAGGTAAACATCTTTTTGGAATTCTCTGCTTTCAGCTAAGATCCATCGGACATCAACAATGATAGCCCTCATTACTTGGCCTCTTCTGAATCCAGCTTGAACTTCTGGAAATTCTCTGTCAATGTATGCTTGCAGCCGTTTCTGTATTATCTTTTGTAAAACTTTACTCACATGGGATATCAAAGATATTGTTTGATGATTTCCACGTTCTGTTGGGTCACCTTTCTTTGGAATAGGCACAAATATGGATTTCTTCCAATCAGTTGGCCAGATAGTTGTCTTCCAAATTTCTTGGCAGAGATGAGTGAGTTCCTCCAGTGCCACCTCACTTTCTTGAAAGATTTCAATTTTTAGTCTATCAATTCCTGGTGCCTTGTTCTTTGCCAATTCCTTCAATGCACCTTGGATTTCTTCCTTCAATATCATTGTCTCTTGATCATATACTACCTCTTGAAGTGGTTGAACATCAACCATTTCCTTTTGTTACAGTGGCTCTGTGTATTCCTTCCATCTTCTTTTGATGCTTTCTGTATCATTCAATGATTTGCCCAGAGAATCCTTCAATAATTAAACTTGAGGCTTGGATTTTTTCTTCACTTTCCCCAGCTTGAGAAATGCTGAGCATGTTCTTCCTTTTGGTTTTCTGACTCCAGATCTTTGCACATACTGTAATTTTTGACTTTGTCTTCTCGAGCTGACCTTTGAAATTTCCTGTTCAGCTCTCGTACCTCCTCATTCCTTCCATTTGCTTTAGCATCTCTACACTAGAGAGCAAGTTTCAGTGTCTCTTCTGACATCCATTTTGACCTTTTCCTTCTTTCTTTTCTTCTTAATGACTGTTTGCTTTCTTCATGTATGTTGTTCTTGATGCAATCCCACAACTCTTCTGATCTTCAGTATTTAGTATTTAATGTATCAATTCTGTTCTTCAGATGATCTCTAAGTTCAGATAAAACATATTAAAGATCATATTTTGGCTCTTGTGGACTTATTTTCATTTTCTTCAGCTTCAATTTGAATTTGCATGTGAGCAATTGATGGCCTGTCCCACAATCTGCCCCTACCCTTGTTTTGACTGATGAAACAGAGCTTTTCCATCATCTCTTTCTGCATATGTAGTCAATTTGATTTCTGTGTATTCTATCTGGTAAGGTCCAAGTGTATAATAATTTCTTATGCTGTCTAAAGAAGGTATTTGAAATGAACAAATCATTGACTTTACAGAATTCTATCATGCTATCTTCAGCATCACTTCTATCACCAAGGCCATATTTTCCAACTACTAATCCTTCCTGTTTGTTTCCAAGCTTTGCATTCCAATCACCAGTAATGATCAATACATCTTGATTGCATGTTTGATCAATTTCAGATTGAAGAAATTGGTAGAATTCTTTTATTTCATCCTCACTGGCTTTAGTAGTTGGTGCTTAAATTTGAATAATAGTGGTATTAACTGGGCTTCCCTGTAGGCACATGGATATCATCCTATCACAGACAGCATTGTACATCATGAGTTATCTGGATATGTTTTTTTTGACAATGAATGTAACACCATTTCTCTTCAATTTGTCATTCCCTGCATAGTAAACCATGTGGTTGTCAGATTCAAAATGGCCAATACCAGTACATTTTAGCTTCTAATGCCTAAGATATCGATGTTTATGCTTTTCATTTCATTTTTGACAATCTCTAATTTTCCTAGATTCATACTTCATATATTCCATGTTCTGATTATTAATGGGTGTTTATAGCTGTTTCTCTTCATTTTGAGTTGTGCCCCATCAGCAAATGAAGGTCCCGTGGGCTTTACTCCCATGGGCTTTACTGCATTTGCATCATCACGGTCCACTCTACTTTGAGAAGGCAGCTCTTCCCTAGTTGCATTTTTGAGTGCCTTCCAACCTGAAGGGCTCATTTTCCAGCACTATATCTGACAGTGTTTCTCTGCTATTCATAAGGTTTTCAGTGACTAAGTATTCAGAAGTAGTTTGTCATTCCTTCTTCCTAGTCTGTCTTCATCTGGAAGCTCATCTGAAACCTGTCCACCATGGATGACTCTACTGGTATTTCAATTATTGATGGCATAGCTTCCAGAATCACAGCAACTCACAAGTCACTACAGTACAACAAACTGACAGATGAGTTGTAGACAATTTTAGGCTCCTAAATTCCTATCCCATACACCAGTCATTTTGTCATGTGATGATTTGCATGTTGCTGTGATGTAGAAGCTATGTTGCAAAAATTGGCAACAACCCACCCTCCCACAGTGCAATCTATGTCTCAGTTAGGTGCAATAATTAATCACAATGACCACACAGCAGTCATTCATCATATTCATAGCTGCAGAGATTAGGGAAGTTAATAGCTTACAATTCAGGGCCAGAAATGCACAGGATTCAGTTCTTCCAGTCAGGCATGCCTCTGTTTTTGGTCTGATAATGAATGTTCACAGGGAACACAACTCCACCTAAAGTCTCAGCCTAAAGACAATTGGCTGTATCTCTACAGGTCAGCAACCTAGCTACTCCACTTGGTAAGCATGCAGGCAAGCAAGCATCCTGCCCAAAGGCACTCGACTTGCTTCCCAGTCCACTGCCTTGTCTCGTGCTCTGGCTCTTGGTATTATTGTTGCTGCTCTTCTGTCACTCCTCTGTTACTGCTCCAGTGTCACCGTTTTCTGTCAGTGGGGCAAGGAGGTTCAGTGCCCTGGAATCTCGGTCCAAAAGACACAGTCCACTCCTGGCTCTTTCTTCTTAATGGTCGTGAGATACCAACCTCCCCCCTACTTCTGAGATTCCTCATTTTATACCCATTTACAATCACAATTAACTCTGTTAACCATCAGTCATTCACAACTGAATCATATCAGTATTTTCTCCCACTGTAACTTACCCAGACCCATCAGGGAAAAAGGCATTTGGTGGGAGATATAAAGACTGTACCAGGAGTCCTGGTGTGGCATTGTGGGCTAATGCATCAGACTGAACAGTCATTTGAAATGCAAGGTCAGTGGTTCAAGCTCACCAGCTGTTCCTTGGGTACCCTATACTGGGTTGCTATGTGTTGGAATCGATTTGGTGGCACTTAACAACAACAACTAAGACTAAGGCTAGAAGAGACATATTAAAAATACACTACATATACCACTGGTAGTTCAAATACCAGCAGGGTCACTCATGGTGGATATGTGTCAGCAGAGCTTCCAGACTAAGAACAGACTAGGAGGAAGGCATAGCCAGTCCACTTCTGAGGGATGGCCCACTGAGAACCTTATGAATAGCAGCAAAACCTTGTCTGATATAGTGCTGGAAGAGGAACCCCTCAGATTGGAAGGTACTCAAAA